GCGCTCGCCAGACAGACAAGAGAGAGACAGAGAGACAGAAAGCGAGAAATCACCCCCCCCCAAGAGGGGATGGCCACACTGCAATCCCTTCTCCTCTGTTCTCCTCTTAGGATCTTGGGCATGCATGCACACGCATCCGGCGTGAGTTTTAAGCCACCGGGTCTGGGACACGAACCGCGGTCGACTACATGGGAGTCCAGCGACATAGCCATTACGCTAACTGCTGGTCCCATGACGGTAGTTTTTTCTTCCTTTATCATCGATGGTCTGTTCTGTAATTAAAAAAATAAATAAATATTGGGGCCAGCAGGTGGCATGGGGGTGAAGGTGCTGGACTCACAGATGGCTGACAGCAATTTGAGTCCTGGACCAGGTGGCTTGCTTTCTCAATTTCTTTCCCTTTCTTTTTCTCTGTCTCTCTATGGTGAGTACATGTACCCTGTAGCAAATTAAAAAAATAATAATAATAAATAAAGTTAAAATAAATAATTCTCTAAAAAGAACCTCTATCAATAACTCTATTAATTCTTTGAAGTCTTAACTAAAGTCTCATGTGATTTTTCTGTTTATTTCATTACCTCTTGTGCTGCGTTTGATATTTCACTCTCTTTTTTAATCTGCCTAGTTATATAGCTATTTGTCCTTTTCTAAATGATGAACTCCAAAGAAGTGTGACCAAATTTTATACAAATGTTCTGTTTACATTCTTTCCAACCTCTCCTAAAAGAAAAAGAGAAAGAGAAAGGGAAAGAAAAAGAAAAGGGAAAGGGAAAGAAAAAGAAGGGGCTGGGTCCATGGAGTAGTAGTAATACGCAGTTCAGAGAAGCTGGATCTCACACAGTGGCCATAGTTCAAATCCCTGGCCCAGTCAGTCTGAAACATGTTGGGCATGTACTCAAATGTCCAGGATCCCACAGGCTGGAGGACCGGATGAATGTGACTGTAGCACGTGGAGGATACTCATCTCTTACTCTTGTGTGTGTGCACATGCTCTATAATGAATTCAAATAAAGAGACAGAGAAAGGTACTCTCTGTCCTAAGAAAACATCTGAGACTGGCTTTGTGGGCTGGTGGTTAAAGCAACTGGATCCCACACGGCTGACTATGAAGTTCGAGTCCCACACCCAGAATCTTGAGAACCATGCCGGCCGGACACGTGTGTGTGGCTGCCCAAAATTCCAAAAGGAAGGAAGAGATGAAGGTGAAGAGATTGCCACATGACAGTTCCATAAGTGGGGTGCTTTCTCCTCTCCCTCTTTGTCTTTCTCTCTCACACATCCTCTAGCAAAAGTAAAAAAGTAAGGAACCATCTGATTAGATAAGTGATTCATTATCCAACAGAAAGTGTATTAGAAGTTATTATTTAAGGGACCAGCAGTTGGTGTAATGGCTCTGTCGCTGGACTCCCATGTAGTCCACTGTTGTTCGAGTCCCAGACCCAGTGGCTTAAACTCACGCCGGGCACGTGTGCATGTGTGCCCAAGATCCCAAGAGGAGAATGGAGGAGAAGGGATTGCGGCATGGCCATACCCCCTGGGGGGGGTGATTTCCTGCTTTCTGTCTCTCTGTTTCTCTCTGTCTTTCTGCCCTATAGCAAAACCCTCTCCCCCCCAAAAAAAAAAAGTTATCATTTAACTGTTGTTGCCATTGTTTTCATATGCCCTTATTATGTGCTAGACCTTCTAGGCATTATAAGACAAAGAGGAGTACAGTACAGATCCTGGTCTCAAGGCACCTTATAGCCTAGTGAGAAGATATTTATGTATGTAGGTATATGATAAATATCATACTGGTGTTATGATGTAGTTCTGAGGAGTTAGAAAGAAACTACAGATAGTTCCTAGAGAGTATCAAGGAGGGGAGGGGATATTTGAGTAGGGACTTGAAAGATAAGTAGAATTTTGAAGGGTAGAGATAGAGGAAAAGAGAAAAATTGTTAATATTATATTCAAATGAAAGACAAAATACAATGATTTACGAACATGCCTCAGCATCTTGCCTGCTTATGTAAGAAGGGTTTTTTTTTTTTTTTCTGATTAGTTTGAAAACCAGATTGTTGATTCCTGAATTTCACACATTGTTTAAATATTGGACTTTCTTAAAAGCAAGCATTTTGTTAAAAACTCAGAGTGAAAGTTTTCCAATGATGGGAAAAAAAAGAACAGTGAGTTTAAATGGAGAGCGCTTGTAAAAACACAGATGTCTTCTGTAAATAAGAATAGGAAAAACACTGTCAGTGAGTTCTTTGTATATAAATGTTTCTTTTAACTTATCCATGCAGGATCTGAAAAAGAAAGGCACTTCTCTTTTGTCAATCACGAGGTACATGACAACAGAGTCATTGAAACACTAAGAGAGTTGGCTTCCAAATCTCACTAAGTGATCTAGAAGAGGAGAGAAGCGGCCAGTATTCTGCCTCAGTTTTTCCGATCAGGGTTCCTTCTGTCTGGCTAGTCTGAAGCATTGTTTCTTTGAATTCTAAGACAAGCTGTGATGTCTTTCCTATATTAATAGATATGTTAAACTGCTGGGACTATCGTCCTTTAAAGCCATTTTGAGGGGTTGAAGAGTTAAGTAAGTTTCCATGTTTTCTATTGGAATTCTATTTGGTCAGGTATAATATCTTGAAACAATACTCTTGAAGTTCATAGGATGGTGCCATTTTTGTATAGAAAGTCCCTGTTGTGAAGGATCTGAAATACATTTTTTTTTAAAATTGCTAAAGGGTATGTGCACTTACTTGAGGGAGAGAGCAAGAAAGCACCCCCCATGGGAAGTGGTCATGCCACAATCCCTGTTTCATGTCTCCCTCTTTTGGGGATTTTGGGCTTGCATGCACTACGTGCCTGGCATATTTCTCAACTGCTAGGTCCAGTACTCAAACCATACTGTTGACCATGTGAGATCCAGATCATGTAACAACCAGTGATGGACTGGTCCAAAATGCATTTTTTTTTTTTTAACTGGAAAGTTATGAGGTCTTTGGAACTTTGTGGTTTTTTTTTTTTTTTTTTTTCCTTTTGCTTTCAAAATTTCTAGCCATTTAAACACATTTCAGTGAAATAATTGAGTTTCTTTTGGGTAATACAAAATATTTTCTCTAGTTGTCTCATTTGCTACCAATGAGACCACATTTAAAGAGTGAAAATATAGTTAATTTTCTTCTTTTTTTTTTTTTTAGAGAGATTTTTGCTATAGAGCACATGTGCTTGCTGGAGAGACAGAGACAGAGAGATAGAAAGTGAGAAATTACCTCCCAGGGGGGCTAGCTATGCTGCAATCCCTTCTCCTCTCAGGATTTTGGACACGTGGACATGTGTCCAGCATGAATTTTAAGCCACTGGGTTCGGGACTTGAACCATGGTTTACTACATGAGAGTCCAGTGACTTAACCATTATGCCATCTGCTGGTCCTAAAAAATACAGTTAATTTTCTTGCAAGCAAAGTATTATGGCTTCTGAAACCCATAGAGTATGCATTGAAATGGTAAAATAACATTTACTTGTGTAAAATAGGTCAACTTATATAGAATGTGAATACTTTTTGAAAACTTTCCTCTGTGCATATTGGTAATGATGTGAGTGGTGTGGCCCATGTTTGTTGTATGTAACTTCAGTGTACTTAAATGATTATAAGGTGCTTTGAGATGGGTTTTACATAACTCTAAAAAGTTCATTGGTGGGCCAGCTGGTGGCATGACAGTTATGGTGGCTTGATTCTACATGGCCAACTGTGCAGTTGTAGTTTTTTTTGTTTTTTTTTTTAAAGAGATTTTTGCTGTAGGGCATGTGTGTTCACCAGAAAGACAGAGACAGAAAGCAAGAAATCACCTCTCAGGGGGATGGCCACACTACAGTACCTTCTCCTCCATTCTCCTCTTGGGATTTTTGGGTACACATGCACACATGCCCTGTGTGAATTTCAAGTCTCCAGGTTTGTGGACTCGAATTGCAGTCAGCCATGTGGGAGTCCAGCGATATAACCATTACACTATCTGCTTGTCTTGCAGCTGTAGTTTTTATCTGGTGGCTTGAAAAACATGCTGGCATGTGTGTGTGCCCAAGATCCTGAAAAGGGAGAAATGGAAGAGAAGGGATTGCAGAATGACTGTCCTTTGAGGAGGGTGCTTTCTCTCTGTCTCTCTCCAGTGAGTGCATGTGCTCTCTGGCAAATTACAAAAAAAAAAAAAGTTAACTGGCTTCATTCTTTCTTTTTAATTGCCAGGGCATTTGTGTTTGTCAGAAAGAGAGAGGGAGAGAGAGAGCGAGAGCGAGAGCGAGAGCGAGAGAGAGAGAGAGAGAGAGAAAGCACTCCCAATGAGGCAGTCACACAATGATCTCCTTTCTCTCTGTTTCTATATCCTGTTAGGATTTGGGGCACACATGCACATGCATCCAGTGTGTTTTCCAAGCGGCCAGGACATGGTCTTACATGTAGGAGCCAGCTCACCTTAACCACTATGCCTTGAGGTCAGCCCCCACGGCCTTCTTTCTGTATTTAGCATACATTTTTTTTTTCCTCATAGATTTATTTTTATGGTGCTAGGTGGAGATGTTGATTATGTGGGTTTAGTGTCTTACAAAGATAATTTTATAGTTCATTCAGTATTATATAAAGCTATGTCTATATCTCTTTTTTTTTTTTGGTGTGTGTACGCTTAAAATTCCACAGAAAGGACTGTTTTCTGTTGGTGTCCTGAGACTTACCAATGTCAGCCACAAGGAACCAGCCTAAAATCTTTATTTTTAAGGTATTAAAAAAAAGGCATGATTGCTTGAGATACCAATAGCAATGTTTTTCTGGCCAGCTTAATGTGAAATAATTTTAGTCTTGGATGAAAGAAATTCATCTTCATTAATGGAAGTAAGACTATGCTGCTATTAGATGGCTATTTTATCTAAAATGGCACTAAAACAGCTTGGCATGTTCCTCAGGTGGAGACTTTGATCTCATATATAGCTGCTGTCCTTGACCCTCTTTTCTTGTTTTATTTCCTAGGTGCGTCACCGAGCTTCTGGTCAAGTGATGGCCCTTAAGATGAACACGTTGAGCAGTAACCGGGCAAACATGCTAAAAGAAGTACAGCTCATGAATAGACTGTCTCATCCTAACATCCTTAGGTAACAGCTTTTCTCTCCTTCTGGGATTTTTTTGAAACTCTGTTGGAGGCTTTCTAGAATAGCACTGACAGTTGAAAAGAGAGATTCAGAGTTTATTATGTGGGTTCTATGTTCTCAGAGTTTAGTTGTGCTCTGAGTCTTTTCCTACTCATTGAGATTTCATTTCCTGGTAAATAACTACATCTAGTAAAGTAACTCCTTCTATCTGTTAAGTTTCTTTACTCTCATTAAAACATTAGTATTAGCTTATTAGAACAGTTATTCCCTACTACTGATTAGTAATTTATCAAAGAGAAAAGACTGGTTTTATGTGGTTATTTAATTTTGCCTAATTGCTTTATGAGGAACTATAATAGATCAGTGAATGAAAATTAAAAAAAAAAATTTTTTTTTTTGGGGGGAGAGGTTTTTGCTGTAGGGCGCATGCATTCGCCAGACAGACAGAGACAGACAGAAAAACAGAAGGCGAGAAATCACACATCCCCCCCCAGGGGGATGGCCATGCCACAATCCCTTCTCCTCCTTTCTCCTCTCGGAATCTTGGACATGCATGCGCACATGGCTGGTGTGAGTTTTAACCCACCAGGTCTGGCATGCAAACCGTGGTGGACTATATGGGAGTCCAGCAACATAGCCATTACGCTAACTGCTGGTCCCAATAAAAGTAAAATTATGCCTTCTGCTATCTCTCTATAACTTTCAGTGTTTATTTGAGAAGTGATAGTTTTTCTTTGAGAATTATTTTCATGTATAGAATAGGGTTATAGAATCATCAATTTCTAATAATCTGAAGCTTTCCTACTTTAATTTTTTTTTTTTTTGAGAGGTTTTTCGCTATAGGGCGCGTGTGCTCGCCAGACAGACAGAGACATAGAGACAGA